GCAAAGGGCACTCGTTTAAAGGCAAGGAAGGGCAAAAATATTATAAGTCAAGTGATAGCGATTGCTGTATGAGTCGTACGATTTTTGAATCAAGGACGGGCAACGCCAGGCCATGCTAAGTATATATATATATATATATATATATATATATATATATATATATACACTACACCTGAAAGGTTTGAAGTCAACTCCAGAATTAACATGGGATGAACATGAGAAAAGAATGAAACGTTTCCATTTCCAAAAATGAGAATGGAATCAATTATTAAACTAATACGAAAGGCAAAAATGTGCGCTGGAGTAATCAAGGCTAAAGGAGGATATTTTGAAGTGAGCAAAATTAATAAAATTAAACTTCTAAGAAAAACTTATGTCTCACTTTTTCAACCATGGATGTTAATATTCTATTAATTAAAGTGCAAAACTACTACGTTTTAGTACAATTTAAAAAATTTATTCGGGGTCTCAAACATTTGAACTGTAGTATATATATATATATATATATATATATATATATATATATATATATATATATATATATATATATCAGTCAGTTAAGTGCTACAGGCGATCATTTCTCGAGAGATACATGATCTGACGAGACAGATTCTTTCCCGCAGTAGATTGCCATTTATTTCTGCGGTAGACTGGTTGGCCATCAAAACCAAAGAAACCATCTCTTTTCACCCCATATCGGGAGGGAGAGGAGATGGATTCATACCTTTCCCAGTGGTATTTGTGCGTAAGTGAATCTAATGAACTCAACTGGAAATCGAACACTGTTTTCCAAGTTCTCACTTCGAACTGATATCCATTACACCACAAATTGCCCGCGTACACACACACACACACACACACACACACACACACACACACACACACACAGAGTCCTTCTCTCTCTCTTTCTCTCTCTCTCTCTCAATCTCTCTCTCTTCTAATTTTATTTTCATTCGCTTTCAGTAACCTATTAATAATGATTACACAATGACGCAACTTTGTTAACCCTCATCCCACGACTCTGGACTTATTTGCAGGAGCGGAGGTCATTAAAAACAAACGTTTCTCATCAAAAGATCAATAGTTCACGTTAGCTTAAAGAACACATTCAGTTTGCAGTGCAGGAGTTAACTCCTGAAATGCTTCAACACTTTAAGAATACATTTGCAGGGATCCAGACGAAATACACGTTGAAATTTTTCACTTTTGACGTAAGATTTATAAATCTATTTATTTTGTACCATAATTAAGTAATAAATATAAAATTGTGTAAATTTACTGATTTCATTGAAATAGTTAATTTAGGACACCCTATATATATATATATATATATATATATATATATATATATATATATATATATATATATATATATATATACTAGCTGAGCCACACGTATTCGAGGATACCAGTCTACTAGGGTGGCTAGACAATCCCTATTCCAGACTCTCGCTCAGGAATAATTGCGTTTGTTCAACACCCACATAGCCAACCTGTGAACGAAACGCATTGGCTGAGATAAGTTTTCCTATTGGCTTTACATATATATATATATATGTGTGTGTGTGTAAAAGACAAGAGAAAAACTATTTCAGCCAATATATATGTATATATATATATATATATATATATATATATATATATATATATATATATATATATATAAAATGAATCGTGAGTTCAGTATAAAAGATAAGTTTTCCTCTATATATATATATATATATATATATATATATATATATATATATATATATATGTAAAGACAATAGGAAAACTTATCTCAGTCAACGCGTTTCATTCACCGACGGATTCTATCAAGATAAATATGAGGATTTTAGTTTACAAGTATTTATATACATTAGCAAAAATATTGTTAGTTTTGCAATTTTTTAAATTTAATAAACACTCAGAAATATTCACCAGGCGAAACTAAATGATGGTGGATGCTCTGTGGCTAAACGAAAATGAAGAAATGATGCTGTATTTGAAATTTTCTTTTATAATGTAATTAATATCTATATTATTTTTATAATCTAATTAATATCTATCTTATTTTAGTTTGGAATTAATTCACATATTATATATTTTAAATAAAAGGAAGTTATGAATTTAACCGTTTTCTTCAATATTTTAAAAATATTTTTATAGTCATGTATGTTGTCTTGGGGAAGAGGTAATTCTTTCAGGGACGGAGTTATATGAAAAAATCCTGGGTGCAATGTTATATTTTGATGAGATTCGATAGCAACACTCTCAAGAATTTTCCGTCTACATAATTTACTTTTTCTTTTAATAAGTGTAGCATTTTTAGATCGAAGTTATGGTTTAATTCATTTGTATGTATGATTAAAGCATTTGAAAAATTGTTGTATATTTATCCCTTATTGATCAATTTTGTGTTTCTAAAGAAGTTTCCTGAATTCTGCAAATTTCCCCAATATATTGTGAGGAGTAGTTACAATAATAAAAATATTATCTACATTATAAAATCAAATAAGAAAAATAACATTATTGAATCACATTTGATTACTAAATTGCTCACTTAGCATCCTCCATAACTTACCTATTCTTTGCAGTTATCCTAATACTTATTTAGGAGAGAATTTTTATATTTAATTTAAAAAAAAAATATTTATACTTCTGTCTATAAATACTTGTTGCAAAATAAATCCTTACTTTTGCCTTGATAAAGTCGATCAGAGGACGAAACTCGTCGGATAAGATAAGTTTTCCTTTTGTGTTTTTTACATATTGCCTTTTTAGAAATATATTTTAGTTACATCGGAAATTTTAAACAAACACACACACTCACAAACGATATATATATATATATATATATATATATATATATATATATATATATATATATATATATATATGAAATGAAAACGAGTTGTGAGTTTCTAAACAGTGATTATTACTACTACTAATGCAATACTCTTTGATAAAACGAATGGGGTTCTCTCAGTCACTTACGTGTTTGTCTAATCTAATGTTTTGATTCTAGCTAGAGTCAACCGGGCGTCTGTCTACATTGATGATTTGTGATACAGAGAAACAGTCCGTCTGTGGATGACAATATGTATGCTTCTTAAAAATAATTTCGGTCGAACTCTCTGGGTAAAGAGTGATTATTACTGCTAATAATGAAATACTCTTCGACACAACGAATCCGGTTCTTTCAGTCACAGGTATGTTTTCCTAAAAATAAATACGCTTAAAATTCCTCTTCATCCCTGCCTTGACTTAGGGGTAGATTATCCAACTGACTCCAATTCAAGGTTCAATCGTAGCTAGAGGCAATCTGACGACCTGTGATACAGCGAAACAGTCTGTGGATGACAATATATATATATATATATATATATATATATATATATATATATATATAAAAAGGTAAAAATAACTTTTTTTTACCTTTTATCCATCCGCCCCTGATGATCCGCTTAGGTGAAACCTTGGTAGGTTTGTCTTGCTCTCTGGGTTTAACTTGGTCTGCTCTACTTACTGCATCGATTATTTTGCCTACTCGTATCGTTTTTTTTTCTTTGGGCTTTGGACTTGCATGCTAGACGATTATTTTCGGCTAACGTACATGTCCTTGGTTCTTTCTCTTTTTATATCTTTTTTTTCCATTTGGTATTGGTTTCAGATCAAAACACTGAAGGTTTTACGAACTGGTATACTTTTCTTATACTTATAAGATTACTACTAACAATATATATATATATATATATATATATATATATATATATATATATAGATAGATAGATAGATAGATAGATAGATAATACTAATTGGTCAATATATATATATATATATATATATATATATATATATATATATATATATATATATATATATATATATTTCTAAAAGGATAAAATACACATAGTGCTCAATGTACAATACCGAGCAGGAATATAACATAAAAGGCTCAAACACAAGTATTCTAGGGTTATAATCTATTACATTGGAATCGTAATCACAATACAATTCATCAGACCAATAATTTCATAAGGAAAAACAGAAAATATAACTCGATATAAACAACAAAATTTCAAGTAAATACATTATATTAAATATATATATATATATATATATATATATATATATATATATATATATATATATATATATATATATATGTATGTATGTATGTGTGTGTGTAGGTGTGTGTGTAAGTGTGTAAGTATATGTATGTAAGTGTGTGTGTGTGAGTTTTATATATTGCACAGTAATTGGCCCATGTTTAAATGTAATTGGCAGAAATGTCCAACAAATAGAATTGACAAAATCTGCAATAAGCAATATGAAGTGAAAGAATATAACAGAGCAAAATAATGCTAAACAAGCAATATATGCAAGACAAAATTAGACAAAACAACAATAATGAGGTAAAAATGTTCTCAAACTAACAATGGTGCTAACACAAAAAAGTGATACAGACAGGATATCGCAGCGTTCTGACTTCAAGACAAGAAAGAACAATAATATGATGGATGAAACCGAGAATTGGTATATCCTGTTCTCTAGGAAGATATCCCATCATGCATCTGGACGGTTTCTCTATAACTTTGGGAAGGGGAAAGTTTTTGCAATCAACCCCGGTAAGATTGATTTTTCTCTTTGGATTTGTTCATAATTTCATTGGAAAAAGAAAAATTAAGTTCAAACTTTATCCACGTTTTGTGCAGTGTTTTTATTTTATTGTCATTTGTTTGTGTATTTTATTCGTCCATTTTATTGTGTGTGTTGGTGAGGCAACCCCTATGGCGAAAATAGATTGAAATAAACGGCCAGTGATAGATAGATTGGTTGACATGAACGGACAGTGATAGATAGATAGATAGATAGATAGATAGATAGATAGATAGATAGATAGATATGTAAAGATTATATGTCAATCGATATATAGACATGCACAGATTGATAAGGATGAATAGATAAAGATATATGTGTGAAGGAGACGGATTGATAGGTAAATTGATATGTAGCAACTAAGATAGATAGATAGATAGATAGATAGATAGATAGGCATTAACAGGCTGAGATAGATAGATAGATAGATAGATAGATAGATAGATAGATAGATAGATAGATAGATAGGCATCAACAGGCTGAGATAGATAAATAGATAGATAGATAGGCATTAACAGGCTGAGATAGATAGATAGATAGATAGATAGATAGATAGATAGATAGATAGATAGATAGATAGATAGAAACGACGTAAAATAGAAATTGCCAGAGAAAGAGGGAAACAGACATCACTGGTTGAGATAGATATGAACAAATATGTTACTTATATAAAAAGAAAACAAATAGAGAGAGATAGTGGACAAGAGAAGAACGATTTGGAGATAGATAGATAGATAGATAGATAGATAGATAGATAGATAGATAGATAGATTAAATTACTTTTATGGATATATTATGTAAATCTATGTACTTTTTGCTTGATGCCTATTCACGCTATAAATAAACCGAAGCGATCTCCATTCGTTTATCTACAGCAGCAATAGAAAATCACAAAAAGCGAACAGCGAATTCTATTTCACACATTAAGCCGCCGTAATAACAAAGGTGTGGTCGACACAATAGAGAGCATAGAAAATCATTTTCCTAGCGACGAGCTTGTTCATACGGATTTAATCACATAAACACAATCACTTCGATTATTTTCCTTCCCCATCGCCGTCATTTTTTTTCTCTCTCTCTCGATTTGCCTCTGTGTCTGTACAAATAGTAGGCCATGATGACATCGACACGTAAATGACACGCTAAGCGCGAATTGCTTGCAACAGATCCGTTTCTCGGCTTCCCTGTTACGCCGCACATAACAATTGCAGCCTTTTACGAGCAATTGCACTCACTGCTCCTCAGAAAGATATTGGATGCCACGCTCTTGTGCGCGTTATACAAAAAGATCAATTATGCCTAAGAGGTGTTATATTCTACTTACTTATTTGAGATGGCGACGGAAAAAAATGGACATGCACCGAAGTAAATACATTGACAAGAAAATGTGCACAAATACAAATGTACTTAAAATTTAATTAGAAGTTTGTTCGGAAAATAATGTCCGATTTCAGAACAAACTTTTTCGTTCTAATATATTATTATAATATCAGAATAATTATATGTGTTGTGGAGTAACTGAATATCCTCACAAAATGGACTTGTCTATTAATATTTAAAAAGCATTCTCCATCTTTCGAAAATACCGAGCAATTGTTAACTGTTTATAACATTAGTCTGTGTTCTCAATTGTGTACTATATTATTCACCGAACTACACTTCTTCTTATTTTCTATATGCATGTCAACGTTTCCTATTCACGACGCAATTATATGTTACTCATTTATAATGATTAAATAGCCCTATTTATTAATCACTTTGAAAATATCAATTATATACCACAAATCTTGAACATGAAAAAAATAGAAGCGTTTACTTTTTTTAGCATGAGTTTAAGTTTGGTCATAATGCTTCTCAAACTGCTGCCAGCCTTAATAGAGAATTGAGGGGAAAATCACTTGTGATGTGACTTTACGGCGCTGGTTTCTGAAGTTCCGCAGTGGGGAGACGTGTCTTGAAGACCAAGGTGGTAGAAGACGTCCATCTGACAATCAACATCTGAAAATACTAATAGAGCAAAACCCACGTCAAAGAAAGGTTTCAGTGGATATCAGGATTTCAACAATATGAATGCATTTCAAAAGAATTGGCAAAATAAAGAATCTTGATAAATGTATTCCACGGGAACTGAGTGAATGTCAAAGTTTTCAACGTTTACAAGTATATTCGATGTTGCATCTGCGAAATTTGCTGATATATATCTTGGTCGAAGAGTGACATGTTATGGGAAATGGATCCTTTGTGACACTCGAATAATCATCGATTCATTGACTTGATTATGACGAAGGACCCAAGCACTTAAAAAAAAATTGCACCAACAGAAGATTATACAGACTATCAGAGTGCTTGCCAATGTCAATACCATTTACAGCTTTCTGGAATCTAACCGGAGCAACATTACTAAAATTCCTTGTCTGTAACCGGATGAAATTCACATTCAGTTAAACAAAATCTGCCCAACACAGATTAATCGATTAGGTGAAGTTCAGCTTCATGATAATGTTCAGTCATATTTTCCCAGGATCACACTGTAGATGCTCAGAGGCTTGAGATACAAGACTTTTCTACATCAACACTCTGATTTTCAAGCATTGTGACAATTCTTTAAACCCCAAAACATTCCGTTGCAAAAGAGATACAGAAACAGCATTCAAAGGATTCTTAGCGACCAAATCATTAGAGTTTTATCGTAAAGGTATAAATAACCTTGCAACTTTATGGCAGGAATCTATAGATGTTCAGGATTCTTATTTTGATTGATTCAAATATTGATTAAATACAATAATCCAGGAATAAAATATGATCCTAAAATCGAACATTATTTTCCAACAGCTAAATATGTACTCTTTCAGCGAAAAAGAGGAAATTATTTAATACTTACAAAATCCGGATAATAAGTTTGTTTTATCATTTGTTTAATTTTATTAATATTAATATTTATTTTATTTTTATTATTCTATTATTGACAAAAATAACTGATTTCCACGGTATTATTTTTTTAAATGACTCTTTGAGAAAATTTTTTAAAAAACTAAGTCACTCAAACAAATCTAATTCTTATCGAGAGATTTTTACTTAACGTTGAATCTTCTACTCAGGGATCTGTAGTTAGCAAAATGTGACTATATATAGCTGCAAGGGTCGGATTACCCTCCCCACATTTCCACTATATCGCCCTCCCCCAACACGTCCTACGCCCAAGTTAAGTTGAAAAATCTGCGAAAAGTGTATATCATGGAGTTATTATAAACATGAATTTAATAAGGCCAGGCGGAAAGAAGTGAAATATTTTGTCCAAACCTCCTCTACTCTTTTTTGTCCGTTCAAGTTATTTCCGCTGGCATTGGTGGCTTTAGAAAACTAAAAGTGAATGTACGCTTGATAATATTATTATAGTCCCTCCCTTGACTTAGGATCCATGTGTCTCGATTTCTTACTAATATTTCAGACTCTGTGACTAAACTTCCACTCTAAACAGTGATGTGGTCAGATATTTTTTTTCTTTGGTCTTCCTCTACTTTTGCCTAAATTCGTACCTTGTATGATGCCACTGAAATGTATAAACGCTTCTATATGCAGTTATGGCCATGAAATATGCAAGTGAAAACGATAAACGCTTCTATATGCAGCCATGACCGTGAAATATGCCAATGAAATCGAAAAACGCTTCTATATGCAGTCATGACAATGAAATATACCACTGAAATCTATAAACGTTTGTATATGCAGTCATGGCCATAAAATATGCAACTAAAATCTATAAATGCTTCTATATACTGTGATCAACATTGTTGAAACTTGAATAAAGCATGGAATAATTATAATAATACAACACAAAATGTACTTAAACAAAATGTATTGACACAATAACGTGTACACAATATTTACAGAGAGTTTGGTATATTCTTGGGAAGACCGTTCCTGTAGAATGGGTTGACTTAGTCGCAGACGGGCAGAGTCTCTGGATTGGATCTCTTCTTCCTCCCCACCGTCTTCCCGGTACCAACCATATTTATATGGTCGGTACTCCACTATGTAAATTAGGTGGATCGTACCACAACAAACATGAAATATGCCTCTGAAATCTAGAAAGTCTTCTATATGAAGTCATGACAATGAAATATGCAACAGAAATCTATAAACGTTTCTATATGCAGTCACGACAATGAGATATTCCACTGAAATCTATAAACCACGCTATATGCAGTGATGTCCATGAAATATTTCACTGAAATCTATGAAGGCTTCTTCTATATGCAGTCATGACAGTGAAATATTTCACTGAGATCTATAAATGCTTCTATATGTAGACATGACAATGAAATATGCTACTGAAATCTATAAACGCTTCTATATGCAGTCGTGACAATAAATTATGCCACGTAAATCTATAAACGCTCCTATATGAAGTCCTGAATATGAAATATACCACTGAAATCTATAAATGCATCTATATGAAGCCATGACAATGAAACATACCACTGAAATCTATGAACGCTTCTATATGCCTTCATGGCCGTGAAATATGTCACTGAAATCTATAAACGTTTCTATATGCAGTCATGACATTGAGATATTCCACTGAAATCTATAAGCCATGCTATATCCAGTGATGACCATAAAAATCTATTGAAATCTATAAACGCTTCTATATGCAGTCTCCACTCTGAAAAGTACTATTTTATTCCATAAATGCTTGTATAGGCAGTCATGACCTTGGAATATGCCTTTGAAGTATATAAACTCTTGTATATGCAGTGCCTGGCTCGGGAAAATGCCTTTAAAGTTAATAAACTGTTATATATGTTGGCCTGAAATTAAAAAGTGACACTGAAATCACTAAACGCTTCTATATGAAGGTGTGGCACTGGAAAGTGCCTCTGAAAGAGATAAACAGTTGTATGTACAGTCGTGAACCTGGAAAACACCATTCAATTCAATTTAACACTTGTATATGTAGACATGGATATGGAATAAGCGCTTGCATTGTATAAACGTTTGTATATACAGGTATCATCCTTGAATATACCTTTGAAATCTATAAATGCTTGTATATGCAGGTATAACTCTAAAAAGTGGTCCAGCAATTTATAAACGGTTCCATATTCAGTCTTGACGCCGATGAATTGACACTAACATCTATAAACGAATCTAAATTTACCTTTAAATTCGATAGTCAAGTGTTTATATTTTTCTGACACTGAAAGTTTAGGTTTCTTTGTTTTGTTTGTTTAACGGCATATGAAGACCTTATGGTTCATTTAATACCGAAATTGAATTTTCTTGAGAGTATTTGCAATTTCTTTTAAGAAAATTGTATTGCTGGTAGTTTTTCTTTTACAAAAATTTATCTTCTCTTAATATTTTTATAAAAATCTATTGCTCGTCATATTTTTATTATTATGAGTCTGTCTATATTTCTGAGATGAGGTATTATGTACATTATTTAAATTATTCGGACTATTGGCCGAAACGTTGTGATAAATATGGCGACAAAGATGAAGACAATAGTCCAAATAATGTAACTAATTATGTCTTTTTCAAAAATATTTCTGGTATCATTTATTCATTTGTTCATAAAACTCTATTGCAGGTAATATCATTTTACTTGTTTTGCAAAAACATATTGCTGGTAATATTTAATTTTTAATTCTCTTTCAAAAATATATTGCTGGTGACATTTATTTATTTTTTATAAAAATATATTGCTGGTAATATTATTTCTATTTTTTATAAAAATATATTGCTAGTAATATTTAATTTTTAATTATCTTTCAAA